AAGTTAAAGGTGCTGACCAGTGTTTTATCTTGTGTCACATGAGTGTCAAGCGACTTGTTGTTGGGAAAATACTGAATGTACTCTTCCAATATCAGAGTAGCACATGATAACAAAGACCCTACGTAGCTGTGTACGTAACAGGATGTATGATGACTAGAGGAGCATCAGGACTATTTTAGGCATATGATAGCTATGTGATTAACATGATGATTCAGCCTCTATGGAGATAGACATATGACAAGCATGATCATTTCTGACGTGGAGCTAATCTGAAGTAAACATTGAATACTGCTTTCTATTCCNGCTTTGAACCGGTATTCCTCCATCTTGTGACTGTGTAACACCCTCTCTTGTTTATAAGCATGTGAAGGACACTGTTCTGGGAACGAGTTGTCCCAAATGCTCTGTATGTGATGACTACTTCCATTCTTGCAAGGATAATAAATACATGTATCCTGATTATTGAAAATCAAGCCGGTGACGACGAGTGATATTTTCCTAACAGATCTGTAACAACAAATGCACTTGACATGATGACCAGTAACCACAGGGGTCCCTTAAAAATCATGCCTGAATGATTATAACTTGAATTTAGCTTTTAATTATACCACACAAAATGTGTAGAACAATAATAAAAAAAAATCATTAGCACTGATTATTTTAATACTGCATTATTATATTCCGCCTTATTCACATACAGTATAGTAAACACACTCTGAGTATCAGCCCCAATAACAATGTTTTATTTAAGCCACCTTCACAACATTATCAAAAAGCAGTACTTTTTACAGAAAAGCCTCTCATGAGTTGAGAGGATGACCAGAGGGCTTCAGTTTCTGTCTCTGACCTTTTATTTGTTATTCTACTGCAGTGAGCACACTCATAATGGCGACAGCATAAAGCATCAAACTAACTTTTCATATTCCCCCTCAATGTGATTCTGCATAGAGTTTACAGTATCAATCAAATACTAACTGGCTATTGCTTAGCAACACAGTCTCTATCTCTTCCCTCTCAAGCCTCAACCTTTTTATGGATACACCAAACAAGCCACACACACACGCACGCACACACACTTGTTCTATCTTTTGTATATGATTAATAAAATGACTCTTATTAATCAAGCGCTGACTGCGGGCGTGTGGAGGGGGGATGGTGTTCGTTTAAGAGTGCTTTTTAGTGCTTCGCTCTCTCATAATGACCCCAGCAGGGGACCAGAGAGCAGACTTTACAATGAGAACCATTCCTCACGTCTTCATGTAGCCCTAATGATAATGATACAGCCGTCCCCGTGTACCTGAGAGCCACCGATACATCCCGGATCCATTAGTCCATTAGTGAGAGTGAGGAGGGAATAAAGAGAAAGAAAGAGGGAGTGGGAAGTATGGACGCCAAACAGCACCATAGTTAATCTGCAGACAATGTATTGAAGTGTGTGTGTGTGTGTGTGTGTGTGTGTGTGTGTGTGTGTGTGTGTGTGTGTGTGTGTGTGTGTGTGTGTGTGTGTGTGTGTGTGTGATAGAGGTCTTACAGTATATACTCCTGTCTTGATGTATCTTGCATTATTGAATTCATCCAGCCCGGGATATTGTAATCTTCTCCCCCCGTTGTTTTACTTCAGCTCCTGTCATGACATGTTTTGGGGCATGATCCCAGAGGCAGTAGATCCAGAGCTGATGTTTTATCTGAGCAACTTTTTTTAACCTGTCCCGGCTGACTCATCCGTCAGACTCTGGTCGGTGGGCGTCTCTGTTCGTATGTGGGAAGGCGATGTTTGATATTTGTTTGTGTTTTTTTGTGTATGACCTTGAGCAGCACTCGAGGCTGATTGAGCAAACACAGGGACATCAAGCTGACAGACTAAACGAAGTGATACCAGCCTGCTTTAGCGCAGTAGAGCTCTTGGCAGCTAGAAGGGGCTGTCAATCCAAACAAGAGAGTGGATGAGTCATAGTAGTCTGCTAATACATTTTAAGGGGATTTTATTGTCTTTTTGCACAGTCAATGTCCCTGAAAACTTTTTTGAAAGGTGTACAGCCTCTCTGATGGTCTATGTGTAAGCTACAGTGGACTGAAGTTAAATCACTAAATTAATCAATGCGTTCTACCTAAGTTTGCCTGGATAGTCTCATCACACAGAGCCAGACGGGAGCTCAGGGAGCACACAACTCTGATAACAAATAGTTATTACTTAATAGTTACTGTATACAACTTTCCGTTTTCTTTTTATACATGTAAATCTGCAGTTTGGAAAATGTATAGATTTGTCTAAAAAGTTGCCATAATCAAACTTTATTACTACAGTTATATCAGACATGTATACTTTGATCAACATCTGAGTAAATCGAACTTTATTGATTAATTATACATTTGAGAAAAGATTATAAAAAGTTCCGACATCAAAAAAGGAAATTATGGTGGGTTTCTTGTTTCATTACAATGGATTATTTTTGTACTAAAATAAACTTAAAGTGATGTAAGGAGTTTTTTCTATGATTTCCAAATAAATGATTGGCCTTTATTAATTATGGACATCACATCAGACGTAATCAAATCTCGGACATGCGGAATCTAAATGACATGTATCATGTATGTAAGTTCACATTTGACTGAGAGAAAGAGCAGCTTGGTGCCTTACTTGCCTCCAACTTTCTGTTCTCAAGCACCAGTACGTACTCTTTTACTTCACACAGTGTCTTTCAACTCTTTCAAAAGCTCTGTGTAATAGTGTCTTTGCATTTGTTCAACTTAAAGGTGGGGTATGTAATTCACCTCAGAAACACTTTTTGTTATATTCCATGGAATGCTCTTAACATCCCGATAGCAATGAATATATTAAATGCTTTGACAATAAATACATCAAAAAATTTCATCTGTGGAAGCCGTAGTACTGTAAAAAGCACGACCAATCATCTGAGCCGGCCCGGCTAAAATAACTGGATGGCCTACCTGCCTGTCAGCCTTCCATCTGTGCACAAACTTATCTCGTGCCCTCATTGGTCATGTGCACGTTCGTGTGTGTTGGAGGAGGGGCTCTGTGAGGAAGTCTGAAGGACTTTTTTTTTTGGTTGTGTACTTTCAAATTCTAGCGCACTCGAGCTGGTTTCTCCATTCTTACCTACCCTACCTTCAAGGGACCAGACTGAACTACATTAAAACTCTATTAACAAAGTACATATTGAAAAAAAAAACAGATACTTCAAGTATAAATGTCAAGGCAGTTCAGACTCTACAATGTTTATGTGCTTCATCCAATGAATGCCATTGTGTTCATGTCTAAGGACCATAAGATGTTTTCTTATCACAACCAATGGCAACTGTACATCATTTCTAAGGCATTAAAACGCCTATAACCTTTTCAACACTTTTTTTATCAAGATTGTTTGGTGCTTTGATTTGATATTGACCTTGTTGTATTATAATCCTCTTCCACTTTGTGCTGTATAATTTTCTCATTAGGGAGTCGTTCAAGCGGTTGGAGAACTGTTGTGGGTGCCATTTGTATAATATGCTTTTTATTATGTTACAGTAGTTGCAATGAACATGTTATATGCAGTTAAAATCTAATTATGCCTCTGCTTGCGTTGTTAACTGCAAAGATTTAGCCTTCTCTCTGAGACGGGTAGAGATATGGCGAGTTTATCCAATACACAAAATTCAGAGGCCAGTAAGAAAATAGTCTGATGTGTCCGCGTCTGAGAAAGAATTTTAGCGGGAATCAGCGGCGCTCTTATCTTACCCCTTAACTCTTTCTCTTATCAAAAGTCAATCCGCTAATTAACCATGTCTCTTGTCTCGGAAAGTTGAGATCCTGAAAGCTCTGTGCAGATGTATTTCTCAGTTAAAAAGTAATGCAACTTCGAAATGGAGAGTTATCATCCTGATTGTTGTAAGGGTTGTAGATTTTATTGACCATAGCTGGTTATTCCATGGTATACTTTTCTGTTGATCGTTATTATAAAATGTGTAACTGTGATTCCTTTGTCGATTTTTCATTTTGCTTTCAGATATCAACATGGCAGGAGAGCCCAAACCATACAGGCCTAAGATGGCCTCCAAGAGGCCTCTCTCGTCCCTCTACAGGTCTGTGTAAAAAACTTTTTTTTATGTCTGTCAGTTATTGCTTTTGTGACCTAGTTTTCCAACCGTTCTCATGTTCTGCTGTCATCTTGGGTAGTTCTGGAGGAACAGCCAATTTCCTAACTGTGATATCAATGATTGTTGTTATCACACATTCACTCCTTCTTGAACTGTGCACAAGGAGTGAAATGGCAGACGTAAAAAAAAGAAAACACAAAACAGGTGGCTGTTAGGGGTGTAACGGTATACGTACCCGTACCGAAATTATTCGGTACGGGCTCTTCGGTTCGGTACACGTGTGTGCCGAAGTGTACCGAACAAATACAACGTTGAACGTAAAAAATTGAGAACGTTAACAACTTTTTGGAAGTAATCTCAGGTGCTGCGTCGCAGCATTCAGAGTAATTTGCTCACGTTGCGTGGGTTCAACGGGTTCAAGCTGTTTGTCGGCATTGTTCAACTAAAATTGGTTACGCGGCTGGCAATACATCAAACTTGCACACTCATTTGAAAAGGCATCACCCGAATGTGAATATCACCGGTACCAAAAGAAAAAAGACTGAAGCGCAAACCCAACTCCCACTAGCATTTAAGCCTCCACCACTCGCAAAAAGTTCAGACCGAGCCAAAGCTATTACAAACGCCAAATATCCTTATGCTGCCATGTTAGCAAAGCGCTATCTGGCTGTATCTGCTACCTCTGTCCCTAGAGAGAGGGTGTTCTCCACAGCAGGAGACATTATTAGTGCCAGCAGATCTTCCCTTTCGGCAAGCAATGTGGACAAGTTAATTTTTCTTTAAAAAAACATACAAAAAAAATACAATGACAAGCAAGTCATATTTCAAACTGGCTGCTTAGGTACTAGTACAGTACAGTTCAAATACAGATTATTTCAGTTCATCGAAATGCTGCACCTTAATGTTTATTTTATTATATTTTGTATTTATTTGAGTGAATACGTTATTCACAGTTTAATAATAATTACAAAAAACAAAAAATATGTTATGTTTTGTGATAGTTTTTCCGCTGTACCGAAAACGTACCGAACCGTGACCTAAAAACCGAGGTACGTGCCAAACCGAAATGTTTGTGAACCGTTACACCCCTAGTGGCTGTCAATTGTTTGTTTTTTTAAAGGAAATAAGCTATTAAAAAAATATTATACTTAGATGAAATGATACTGCTCTCATGTCTGCAAATATGAAGCTGAAGCAACATTTAGCAGCTAGTTAGCTTAGCCCAAAGACCTTGAAACAGGGGGAACAGCTATCTGGAAAAAGATCAGCCCTACAATAGCATCTTTACAGATCACTAATGAACACTTTACGGCTATGTCCATGACATCTTTACAAAAACTGAATAAACTAAACGAAATCTGCTGGTAGGGAAATATTTCAGTTGTTATGCTTAGCTAAGCTAACTGGCAACTGGATGTAGTCTTATGGTTTGACTACAGCTATGAGAGTAGTGTCTTCAGTCTTGTGTTAGGATTTAGTTATTTTTCTTGCAAAATGTATGCATTAAACAGTATACCAGAAGAATGAAACAGTCCGTATTATCTTCACAGCGGCTACGAGTTTGACTATGACTACTACAGAGACGATTTCTACAGCAGGTATGCAAAAGCACTTCTTCCTTTTTAACTCTCAATATAGTATTTTTAAGTAACTTTCCTCCTGATATTTTGCCCTTCAGTTTTCACCCTTCTTCCTCCCCATTTCCCGAGTCAGCTTCTTAGATACAGATGAGTTTGGGGTAAAATAGCCTCATTTCAATCTGAGGCAAAGTAACCACATTATCATAGGCATAATGAATGTCATATTGGGGAGGTCTTATTTCCTCTCCGTTGGTCTCACTAATGATGCTTTTATCCACATAATGCGAGGACTGAATGTCAGATAGTCCCCCGGCTGGTCATTTGCGCTGGCAAGGCAGCAAATGTTTCTTGCTTCTGACATTTTCATTGGTTTGTTATTTATTTCCTGTACTTTGCAATATCCCTGGGAGTGGAATCCTTCCGCTTTGAGTCATTATTGCTATTTTGGTAATTTGATGTGTCATAAGCAACCGGGAACAAGATTTTTATTGGATGGCCCCCGTGTTGTTCAATATGTAGCTCTATCATTCAAACAACTTGTGCAAAATGTCTATTCAGTCTTTTATAAGCGTTGCTTGTTGGTTGAAAAACAAAATGTAGGGATCTTGGGAGTGACAGCTTGAAAAACACCACTTTACTGATCAATTCCAGTAATATATCCAGAAATACTTCTCTATGCTTTTTAGAAAATGGTTTTGCGGCACTGTATTACTGTTTTCTAAGAATTCTCTTCTTGCTAAGTTTGCTGCATGTTTACTTTATGTTTAATGTGTCTTCTTCAGACTCTTTGAGTACCACGGTCGTGTCGTGCCCCCGACCCGTGCAGTGATCCCCATCAAACGTTCGCGGCTAGTCGTCCAGTCCAAACGCAGAGCCAAATCCTCTTTTCCAATCAGGGCCTGTTCTCCCTCCTCCTCCTCCTCTTCCTCCTCCCGAGCACTCAATGCCGGCTCTTCCATCACAGTCCCTAAGCGTATGTTCTCTTTTTCCCTATTTGTTCCTCTAATTCACTTTTCCCCGCTCTGTTATAAAGAACGTTTTTGTTTATTACTACTTTGGATCATTTGTATTGGTTGTGATTAGATTGTACTCAACTAAGTGATTGATTAGATGTGGAAATAAATAAATCTCTTCAGTGTCAGGCTTAATAACATGAGCATTTAGACATCAATATCAAACTAGTCAAGGACTAATACTAGAAACAGCTATCTTGGGTCTGTCGGATCCAAATGACCCACAACGCTTTCAACCATTAAGTGAAAAAATAGTACATTTAAATTTTTTTTTTAAAAGTCAAAATAATCCTTTTAAGTTGAGATGAGCGTATTGACACTGACAAGAATGACGACCAAGACTGCTAAATTAATATCTAGATTTTATGAAACCTTAATGTTTTCTAATTGTTAAAAAATGCCTTTGTACTGCTCCTTCACGTATTGTCCACATCATGCGATTCAGTCAAATATATCATAGGACTGGGCGATATGTTGATATTAAATCATTTTGATCATAGTTTTGGATATCAGAATATGGCAAGAGTGTTGTCTTCTCCTGGTAAAAGAAGCATTACAGTAAAGTGGTGGGATTTTCTCCAATGTGCCACACCATTCTAGCTTTACTGGTATTTGCATTTACTTATTTTTTCATCAAATCCACATTACTGATGATTATTTAACAAAGATTTCACTGTGGTAATATTTTGTAAAAGCGCCAATAGTCAACCTTACAATAAGGTCACACAATTGATATTGAATTATTCAGTCAAAAATATTGTGCAGTTAGATTTGTTATTTATCAGTCCATTTTTATCATAAAGTCTGTCTTCATACGCCTTCAAACACACGTTAGTAATTGTACCTCAGCAACATTTCTCACAATAACCTTGTCTAAGTGTTATAACCATGGGCCTCCTTGTCAAACTTCACATTAATTATGATTTTTAACTCTATTCATGTATGCACACAGTGAAGACAGACCAGCTCCTAATAATCAAGAAGGAGCTGTCACAGATCAAGAACAAGATCGACTCTCTGCTGGGCCGGCTGGAGAAGATTGAGAGGCAACATCGCTCTGACGGCGGTGAGATTTGACAGAGGGGGAGGACGTGTCTGCGTGAGAAGCATGAATTTATACATGTGGAGATGAAAGACAAACACGGGGCGGAGTGATACAGAAAATATTAACGCTGGAGACTATACTACTGGTAAAAAATAAGATGTTAAATAAATCTGAACCGCTCGGATGTTAATTGCCGCTCTCTCTTTCCCCAGACATGCAGAGGAACCAGGAGCAGGTTTGTGAGCGTCTCCATGGTGACCACTCGAGTGCGGAGGAGGCGGCCGAGGTGGAGGCGGGGGAAATGACGGACGGCGGTGAAGACGACTTTGAAGATGAAGGAACCGGGGATATGGTGAGTAGGTCAAGTAGACATTTACAGTCTCAGTAAAAAGAGCGAGCGAGTTCCTCCTGTCTGAAGGAAATGCTGTGATGTATAGGAGGCGTGTTTGACAGGATCTCTGTGTGTGGGTTTCTCTATAAAATAAAAGTCACCTGATGTGTGCTTGCTCTACTGAACTTGTTCGATTTGAAGGATTGACGTCTTATTGTTAAAGTAGTAGATTGACATTTTTAGGAACACATTCATTCTCTTTTTGGCTGAGAGTTAGACGAAATGATTGATACTACTCATGTCTGTAACTGGAATAAGAAGCTACAACCAGCAGACACTTAGCATAAATAATGGAATAAGCAGAAACAGCTAGCCACTATTGGGTTGATTGTGCATTGATTTTAAGTTTACTTGCACATTTTTAAAAACACGAAGATAAACAATTACAGTGCAGAAAGAGGCAGAAAAGCCATTGGGCCAATTTGAAGCCTCCAAATAAATATGTTAAAATGTGTGTTAAAGAGAATATAATATTAATATAGAGACTAATAAGACTTCCTTATAGTGATGGAAATTCTGGGCTCAAGGAAATGTACCCAAAAAAGACAGGAAAACGAAACCATCGTATGAAGACACACTTTATGATAAAAATGGACTGATAATCATTACCATATTCTGCTCCTTCCAATAAATATAATTTTGTATAAGCTGAACAAACAACTTTTACTCTTACACCACTTCAAAGTAAAATAAGTGCCAGTAGATGCACATTTTCTGGGCAATTATATACAGACTTTATCTGATATTATTTCTGCAACATTACCACTATGTCTTTGCATCTTGGGACTCCTTTCCTGATAAGAACAAATACATCTGAGGTAAAACTACCTTTATGTCCGACAGTCAAAATACTTCAGTTCTTTTAATATTGGATTACAATATTTATTATATAAGATTTTGAGATGACCTGGTATCAGACTTAGCTGGGGGTGCTGAAGCTAGAGACTATGAAACTTAATGAGAAATCCTCTGCACCCTCAAATCTCTGCAACATCTTTAAATAAGTGAGTTCAAGGTTTTTTAAGAAAAAAAGGTATTTCAATGAAATATCTGAATGGAGAGGCTTAGCAGGTTAATGGTTTTTGTGTTGTTATTTATTGTGGAAAATATGAAAACTGATCAATATATAACAATACTGAATAGCTTTAGAAGCAGATTTTGTATATTCTGATATATTTTGCCGTTGGTATGTCATGAAAACCCATCCATGTCTATTTAAAAAAAAAAAAATGTTTTAAAGAGTGTACAAACCCAAATTCATTAAGGATTAAGGAAGGAGCTTTTATAACAGCAGCTGTCAATCTCACTCATGTCTTTGTGTTTAATTTGCAGATTGAGAACCACATATCAGACATTGACAACTGAGAAAGGTCAGTATTTAATCCCTTCTTAAAAGGGAATCATTCTTATTGACATGAAAGCAACTGTCATTTCCTTTTGTGAATGGACTTTTAGCAGTGAAGGGATAACAAATGACCCAAACCCCTTTTCAGCGCCCATCAACTTGGTAGTTAATCATCAGCAGCAACTCAAAAGCTCAGTTTATATTCCACTTTTAGGCAGAATGAGTAACGCTGCTCATCCCTTCTTCTTAATGGCCTGTCGTTCTCTCCGTCTGCGAGCGTAAGGGAAAGCTTCTCTGCAGTTATCACTGATGATGTCTGAACGGCCGCTGAGATACAACTCCATCTCATCCCTACTTTCCATCAGACGACATTTAAATCCCCTGATTTTCTTTGTATGAACAAATAGCTTTCAGATTTAATTTGCCTCTGGGCTGACATTTCCTCCCTGCTGTCCTCGAGTGCCCGATAACAGAAATCTCTTTCGGAGCTCTGAACATGATGGGTCATTAAGATGATGGTACAATGAACTCTTTCCTCAGGTGGTTATCTTAGTGGTTGCAGGTAAAATCAGAAGCACTCGTTTATTTTTAATATACTCGCAGCCCCATACATCTCCTCTGTTTTTCACCTCACAGGGAAACCTTGCAATCAAAGCACCCTTGAAATGTAACTATTTTCTCGATTTCCTGTGAAAAACTGCAGATAATAATAAATGTTCCCTCTTTCCGTCTTGTTTTTCATCTTTTCTTCAAGCCAGGGGAAAAAGGAAGTGTATAGTTGAAGAAGCTGGGAGAAGAGATACCAGCAAAACCTTCTTGATCAAGAAGGTGCATTTGAAATTAAAGGAAAGCAATGACGGGAGTGACTGACAGCAGAGGAACTCGTTTTTTTTGCTTCTTTGCCTCATTATAACATGACACTCCTGATGTGTACTTCATCAAAAATGCTGGTAGTGAATATCCTCCAGAATACTGCGAGATCAACCGCAAAGAGCAATCAATAATTTACCTTCAAGCTGATTGCATATCTGAAAAAATAAGGACAATATATTGTGCGCTTACTATATTTTGGTCTGTATTGTGCATATAATACAGTGTTCAATGAGATGAACCATGACATGCCCTCTTTTGTTGTTACTTTTTTCCTGTTTTTGTGCTTTCAAAACTTGCTAGCCTCGGCGCAGGCAGGAAGCTAAATTCAATGCAGGAAAAACACTTCATAATTATGTGATTTTGCTTAATTTGTACATTTTGCTGAAATGTACAGTAGACAGTATGTAATTTATTCACAATGTCTCCACACAGTGTTGTGTATGCATATCATTTTTGCCGTTTGTTACACATGATGAAATGCATTTTAAATTAATTTTGCATTCTGTATTGTTTACTGTCTGCATGTTTTAAATGTGGCTATTATGGATTATTTGTATTCATTGTATCTGTTGTGCAGCTATGGATTAAAGACGTTTTTGAAATAAACCCGTTCCTCTCAACAAAAAGAAAAAAAACAGCCGGCCTGAGTGTTGTGGCTTCAATCGTGAAGGAGAAAACGTGCACTGTGAGGGTTTTATGCTCAGTACAAAAAAGTTATTTTCACTTCATGGCTTGCAGAACAACTTCAAGAATCTTTTATTAACAGTGTATGACATGAGAAGCACTCACAAGTTTAAACCAGCCTCCAAACATATTTATCCTCATTAGCAACATGGCTGTTGGTCCATCTGTTTGTCTGTAAAGTGTCACCACTTTAGTTTAAATTAAAATATGATGGTTTGAGGTTTGTCATGAACATTTGTTTAGATATTTATGTTCCCGAAAAGATGAATCCTGCTGACTTTGTCGATCCACCTCAGCAAAATCATGAATTTGACTTCTGTATTTGATGAAAATGTTTCAGGAAATCTGATTTGATTGCTATGAAATTCTGTTGGGTGATATAAATATAGCTTGTAGATTGAAGGAATTTAATTGGCAACTATTCTTTTTATCAGTCATTTCATGGCAACTGGTTTTTATATGTGATGCTTTGACGCTTTTACCATGTCATTATTTTCACAATTTGATTAAACAAGCATTGTGAACAGTGTGCCTTTCTTGCTTTTTTCTCCAATTAAACAATTTATCGATTCGCCAAGCCAATGATAAGTATAATAATCTATAGTTAAAATAAACAAGTTGCAACAACAGTTAAATGCTGCCTCCATATTAATATAAAGAGTACACTTTTACACATTTAGCTGCTTTGTGTGTAGTTCCAGCAAATGATGTATGTTAGCATTGTCATTGTTGCAGTAATATCACAGTGCTACTAGATGGAGGCTTTTTTACATTAACTTTTCTCTCCACATTCAAACTCTTTTTTTGTAAAACGAATGGGAGTAGTGGGGTGAAAATAAAGGCACATAGTGATGCTAAACTTACAAATGTCCCACTCTAGTCTAATTGAATCCTTCCTTTACATTAGCTTTGTTCTGTAATTGGCTACAAGAATATTCGTCTTAGTTTGTCTCTTTTTATCCAGTGCCCTTGAAAACTAGATTTAATGAGTGGTAAGTGGCGATGAGGAAGCGGCAGATGGCATTTCTATTTCACTCACTTCATTAGCACCAGATCATCATTTTCACAGGTTAAGGAGGGCCATTGGCAGGGCTGCAGGTATAATTGGTTCTATCATTGCTGGCTAGAAGCCAGTGAGTGCAATGATCAGTCATGCAGCTCCTCAAATATGGACAATGTTCAGTGTGTGATGAAGTGAATCAATCACCGCCTTGTAGCTGCTGCAGGAATTATGAGTATAATAGGGGGCGGGATCTTTATAATATATCTGTGATTACTTGAGCAAGGATGCACAACTTGCGGCAAGCTTTGTTTCACAGGCCTATAAGTCAAAGATAAAGCTAATGTGGGAGATTTGGTGAATTATATCTTAGAGAAAGCAGACATAAAAGGAGCCATTTATATTTAATGTATTCCTTTATGAATAATTCCAAAATGGCTAAATCTTCGGTCATCAGCTAAAGTTCTTCTAACTTGGTATTTGGCGGTCAAATTTTCTTTGACTTTTTTCCATTCCCAATATTTACTGGATAGAATAAGTCAAATAATTTCTACACTGTGGTAATGCTACTTTTAGTACATAGTGCTTTTTAAAAATGTATTATAATAATAAGGCTCAGTCATTTACATGTTCATATATAAAGCCATGTTGGGTAAACTCCCATCTTATCTGCTCTCTGATCACACCGAGTTGCAGGTAGCTATTGCCTGAGATCACATGATGTGGTCTTGTTACATGTGCCAAGTGCAAGTACTGAATTAGGTACACAAGCTTTTTATGTGCGCAGCTCCTCTTGCTCTTCAAAAATAATTGAAACTGAGCATTTGGTTCCACTGCATGTTTTTAAAGCTCGGATAGGTGAAATGCTCTTTGATACTGTTGGTACTTGTAAATGTCGATAGGTATGTAAATGTAGCCCTCTAAATATGATGTATGATGTCCTTTATTGTTTTATGTTGTTTTATGTTTCATGTGTAGCCTACTTGCTGCAGGTCTCCCTTGACAAATAGATCAATTGGGACCTGGTTAAATAAAGGTTTGACATTAAATTAAATATATAATATATACTTTTTTAATAAACATGATCATAATTGTATTATAATTGTTTTCGTCTTTGTATTCGAGAAAGTGTTAGAAAAAACAAAGAAAAAACGAAAAAAAACGAAACTAAAACTAAAGTAAAAGAGTAAAAAACCCGGATGTGTCCGTTAACTATGTCACCGGAAGTACGACACCAGAAGCGGCTAGTTCAACTAGACAGAAGAGAGGCTAACAACAACAACACATGTTTTAACGAGCTCACAAGTGCTTATTTGATACAATATAATAATTATAGATATAGTTAAAAAGACAACACTTGCTGATTGTCCCAGCTTGTACAACTGTGCTTTGTAAACAGGTTGTCTACTTAGCTCTATCGCTGTAAACTTGTGCTAGGCTGCTAGGAAAACTTAGCTTTAGATTTGATAACATGATGATAATTGTTCTAGCTTCCATACGTCACATTTGACGGTTATGCTATCTTCAGTACAAACGGAATAATAACGGTTAATGCTGCATGTCGTCGTCATGGGAGACAAGGAGCTGAGTCTTATTGACAAAAATATAATAAGGTAACGTTATTGACGTCTCATCACTGCTATTCTTTTAAAACTCGTTTTAATGAAAACGTGCTCACTTTATTCATCATAAGTTAGCCAAATAAAAGTCCATAATAATCAGTAAAAGTAGCAATAGATGAGAAGACGGGAAGCTAATCTGCAATAATCATTATCACTGAAGCTGAAGCAAACAGAAATGCCAACAACTTGCAATGTTCTTGTTAAATGTGTGGAAAGGCCGTTTTTTCTGTGTCTATAAGTAAACTGGATGCCTTTTGTGTCAAGACATTTGAATATCTCCCCTCGAGCTTTCAAAGTGTGTGGAAGGTATTTTTTTTTACACTTTATGGGACAACATTTGGAATGATTGTCATCATTTTGCTGCAAATATTGGAAAACCTTTCCTACAGAGCATGAGGTCAGGTCACAAAGCAAAAGTGTTTTTCTTTTATGGTAAATCTGTTGTTTCCTCTTGTTTCTTACTTTGTAGCTTGCTGGATGTCCCCCTGAGTCCCACTATAACTTCGCTGAATCTGCACTGTAATCACATCCCAGGGATCGAGGGCCTGACCTCAGCATGGCACCTGCGCCACTTAGACCTTTCCTCCAATTGCATTTCTAAAATTGAGGGTCTAAGCTCCCTTACTTCCCTGAGGACTTTAAATTTATCCTGTAACTTAATCACGAAGGTTGAAGGTGAGTCTTTAGTCACACATTTTTCTCTGACGATTAATGTTTTATGGATGTTCTTCTCCAAGTAATAACTCTTAATTATAAACTCTATGAGGTGTATAATCACTCAGTTATTAATATCCCCTCCCTTTTATCTCAGGACTGAATGGCCTCGTGAACCTAACAAGATTAAACGTGTCCTACAATCAGATAAACAACCTCACTGGTGAGTTTAAAAAGGGCTGAACAGACTTTTCTTTTTCTACCCTCAAATAAAAACACACTTACCTGTAAGTGACATGTCAATGCTGTTGATGTCTTCATTAGGGTTACTCTATCTTCATGGAACGGGATACAAGCTGAAACACCTCAGTCTCCATAGCAACAACCTGGACAACATCGATCACGTCCTGCAGTGCCTGCTGGGATCGCAAAGTTTAAGAGAGGTCACTTTGAGCCAGGATGGCAGAGACAACGCTGTGTGTAGGTTGCCAGGTAAGATATGAGGAGCTTATTTTGGAGTAATTAGTATTTGGGGACTAGGGATGGGTATCGTTTGAAATGTATCGATTCCGATTCCGGTCCTGCTTATCGATTCCGGTTCTTATCGATTCCCCGTTTCGATTCCAAAATTGTAAAAGAAAGAGGTCAAACGTTTAGATAACAAAAATATCTTTATTCTTTTAAGCTTTAACTGACATTTTTACAAATAAAAAATATGGTTGTGTGCTTTATTTTAACTGAGCTATGCTCATGGCAAGCTATTAAGAGGCATTACACTGTGCCTTGTCTTTTTCTTCTTTAGTGTAGTGGAGCCTCACTTTAGAGCGATTACTGCAACCCATCTTTGGTGTTATGAAGTGACTGAGCTCGTGAACTGTCTAGGGGAGGGCGGGGGGAGCTTCGCTGCGGGGCAACTGTGGACCTCTGTCGCCTGTCAGCACAACTTACATGGTGCTGTTTAAAACAATTAAGGGCGGTGCTGACGACCGGCCGTTCTTTGATTCTCCAGAACACACAGATGGCCAGTCCGCCCTTACCCTGTATTACACCGGGTCACCGCGGCGCAGACGGACCCGGTGGAATACAGGGTCTACCGCGTTTAGGAAGCGTTAAGCAGAACCAAAATTGTGTATTTTGTATGGGTACCCGGTAGGGCTGCACGATATTGAAAAAAACTGACATTGCGATATTCTTTTCCCCTGAGATATATATTGCGTTTTTTTTAACTATATTTAACCGGATGAAGGATTTTAGTCACGGACGTCTGGATCTTAACTGGTTGACTCATCATACCTTAAGTCATGATCTAACATGTCATGATAATGCAGGTTGCTTACCCTCAGATAAGGGGGTTCATATGTGAATGAAGAAGAGTGGTGTCTAGAAGGGATCCAAGAGATTCAACGTATTACATTAAACTATAGGAAGCTTCATTATCACATTAGGGAATTAACATACGTGACCAAATAGGTCATTTCACTTTTTATTCCACAATTAAAACCTTTTTTGTGCAAATAGCAGCAAAGTAGTGGAAATCTTTTAAACAACATCATAAAAATAAAATTAAGAACAGCTATACACCAGCTCCTTTATGCCGTTTTGAACCTTTCTCATATGGTGTAACACCGGCAAAGGCATCTGAAATAGTTGTTTGCTGTGCATACAGACTCAGAGCCTGCATGTCACTCCACTCAAGTACCCCTGACATGAGAGCCGCGCAAGTTTTCCTTTTGTAGAAAGCAGCAAAATAATTGTAACATGACGTGTTTGAGTTAATTTACCTACTTAATATCGAACACCCTAAAAAATAAATGTAAAAAAAAAATAAAAATAAAATCGCACGTCCCTGCGATGTGAATATCGCGCATGTGCATATCGTGGTTATCGCCATGACACGGTATATCGTTCAGCCCCGGTACTCGGCATTTTCTTATCGGTTCTCATCTGGAACCGAGTTTCGGATCCCAACCCTACTTGGGACTGTTATTTTACTTAACTTTTAATAATGATTGGCCTTTTACAGATAAACTGTATAAGTAATTGTTAATTGATATGCTAAGACTCTCATGGTCATCCAAGCCAAAATGACATGTGTTTATATATTATACATGATTATATATATTACTCTCCAGTCATTTTGTTTACCTAGTTAAAACAAAAAATGGAGTCTAGATTTCTGCTGCAGGCTGAGAACCCTCCTTTGTAGATTGCTCTTCAGCAGCCCATATCGCATATATTCATTCCCATTTTGAAAAAAACAGCACATAACAAGCTTGCAGGTTGTTTTGTTGTTGTTTAAAGGCATCTAATTCTGAATACTCTTGTTATAAATTGCTTAGGAGAACTGCATGAGCCAAATAATGTAATATCATGTCAAAAGATTAACAACCCTGCATAAAACATGACCTTTCTAAAGGCAATAAAGCTGAGTTTCCTGTTAACGACGTGCAGATTGAACTCTATGGTCCTTTTGTAGCTTTCTGTTTTGCTATTCTGTTTGCCACTTATCAATCATGGCAGACTAAAGACTAGAAACACCTCTCAATCGATCAGCATGAAAAACAACCACCTCCATTACAAACTCCAAATCAGTTTGAACACCAATGTGACGGTAGATTTGTTTATTTATGCTATTAAATTAATTATAATGTTTAAAATGACATGTGCGTAACATGTCATTTTAAACATTATAATTAATTTAATAGCATGAAGACAATGAATAAATGTAATAACGGACATCTTCACAGTTTTTGCTATAAACAACCCTTTTACATCTCTCTCTGTTGTTTTTGATGCGTCTCCGACGAGTCGTACAGGATAATTGTTTTTATTAACAACGCATAAATCTCCCCTTGTATTGCCAGTAATGAAAGCACAATGAAAATCAGTGGTAGACACATTGACAGCTCCTGCTAATAATGACTGAGACGTATTTATCTCTCCATGCCTCTTATGCCTGTGTCTTTTCATTTCATCTTGACTGAAGATATATCAATTCAAAAATCGTTCCAGTGTTTTCCTATAAGTTATGCTGTGCAGCCATTATTCTTGTCTTCCTGCTCATAAGTAATGCATGGCAGCAGCGTTTGAAAGTACGTGTTTAAATCCATGAGGGCACACTTAAAGCATTTTTACAACCCTTGCTGTCATATTGACAGCGATGGTTCACTCATATTAGAGGTGCTCAGTTCTCATTTAGTGAGGCGCATCAATAGTGCATGTGAGGATAGCACAGGTTATTTGTTTGGATATAGATTATTTGATTGTGTGCAGCATAACACCTGATGTTTTAACCAAGCCTGGTGTTACAATACTTAATAATGGTGTATTTTTTGACAGCCTTGCTGCTCTAGTCTGGTCAGGTTTTTTGAATGTATAGTGTCTGTGTGTCTGTCTGCAGGTTACAGGGAGATTGTTATTCAGTCCTTGCCACAGATCTCTTCTCTGGATGGTCTGGACAGGTTTGGAAACGCATCAGCTGGAGGTCTCGGAAGTCCCTTTGATATCCCCGGACTGGAAGACTATGTGGACCTCTTAATGTCCTCAGATACCAGTCACAACGAAGCGGTAATTTATGATGCCATACTACCATTATTGGCCGTTATATTAACAACTTTGTATGTTATTATAATGACCATAGGCCAACATGGTAATATACTAGTATCAACACACAGTCGCAGCAGAACTCACCCGCAATTTATTTACAACATTTATTGAAAAATTACATGAAAACACTGAGAGAGAGAGAGAGAGAGAGCGAGAGAGAGAGAGAGAGAGAGAGAGAGAGAGAGAGAGAGAGAGAGAGAGAGAGAGAGAGAGAGAGAGAGAGAGAGAGAGAGACGACGAACGAACGAACGAACGAAACGAAACGAAACGAAACGAAACGGTAAACGTAAACGGTAAACGTAAACGTAAACGGTAAACGGTAAACGGTAAACGGTAAACGGTAAACGTAAACGTAAACGTAAACGTAACGTAACGTAACGTAACGTAACGTAACGTAACGGTACGGTACGTACGTAC